TTCCTTCCTTCCTCCTCCCTCCCTCCCTCCCTCCCTCCCTCCCTCCTCCCTTCTCCCTTTCTCCTCCTCCTCCTCCTCCTCCTGTGACTTTCTGACAGACCAAGTCAATGGGGAACCCAAATTCACTTAATAAGCATGCAACTAACTTCACAACTGCAGGGATTCACTTAAAGAACCGTGGCAAGAAAAGTTGTAAGACGGAGCTCCCGCTGCTTAATGGAAGGGCTGGCCCTGCAGAGCTGAAGAGCCGGCTCTGGGCTCTCCTCCATAGCTAGGCTCAGAACCAACGCTCACGTTTTAGGGTGCTATGCACTGTATTTCTTGGGTGGAGCTCTAAGTCTGCTCGAACTACAGCACCCATCACCCACTCCGGACAGCAGGTCTAGGAGTGATGAGGGACACACTCTCTTTTCTGTAGCTTCTTGAGTTTTGGGGTCCTCCTGTAGACCCTCTAAAGCAGTAGTCCCCAAACTCGGCCACTTTAAGACTTGTGGACTTCAACTCCCAGCATGGCTGGCTGGAGAATTCTGGGAGTTGAAGTCCACAAGTGTTAAAAGTGGCCGAGTCTGGGGACCTCTGATCTAGCAGGTTCTTTACAGAATTGGGATTTCTGTAAGATTTAGCGCAAGCGTCTTCCAACCTGGCAAGCTTAAGACCGGTGGACTTCAACTCCCAAAATTCCTCAGCTGATGTGACAGGAGGAGGAATTCTGGGAAGTTGAAGTCCACCAGTCTTAAAGTGGCCAAGTTTGGGGACTCCCGTTCTAGTCTCCCTTCTTAAGAGACATTGATCCGGCTGCCAAGTTCCACTTTCCCACTAAACCACCAACGTATCCAGGCTGAACTGAACCCTCCCCAGAGCCCACCAATACCTGGGTTCAGGCAAACACCCAAAAACCTCTCGTTGGTACCTGTGTACTTTCCAGCTAATGACATGACGGTCCCCTCTTCTCCTGCCCGTCGATGGTACACCAACTCACCGCCCAGCGCCAGACACGGCGTGATACTCTGCAGGTAATGTGCCACTAGGATCCCTGTGGAATGCAGATGGGGAGGGAGGCGGCTGTTTAACACCATTCCCTGGGGGGGGGGTTTCTTGGTCCTTCCCCCCCACCCCAATACTGGGTAGCCCTGCCAGGAAAGGTCAGGGACTGAATCTACGGGCCAGGCCAAGTAAGAAGGCAACAGCGAGAAGAGGAATCAAGAGGATGGAAGTTGCTCACCTGAGCCTACTAAAATATCGGGGTTCCCTAGCGTGACGGCAGCGGTGAAATCTGTACCTCGGAATTCGCTGTCCACTTGCCAGTTCACAAATTTGGCCTGCTGCGTCTGGAGAAGGTAAGCAAAGAAGACTTGTCCTGCGTGTCAATACTCACGGGAAAGAATATTTTGTAGCTTAGGGTTAAGCGGTAGGATCCTTGGTAGCCTCTGAGCTGGGTTGTTTTCTTAGAGACGTTTCAGGACTCAACCAGGTAACGTCATCAGTGCTAGAAGAGAGTGGGGTTTATGGAGAGGAGGAGGAAGAGGAGGAGAAGGAGGGTGGGGTCCTTGGTGCTCTCTGAGCTCGGTTGTTTTCTTAGAGACGT